TGGCTCTAGAGATAGGATGGGGAGGTTTGAGGCCAAGAAGGGATCTTAGAGACATTGGCCTTGCTCATGTAGGGCCAGGCCCAGGCCCTGAGTCCCCCAGGGCTGAGACTCAGTGGTAGGGACTGTGCACCTCTCCATGGATTCCAGCACCCAGAATTCATGCTTCCATGCTTTCCAGACTTAAAAGAAAGGCCTTTGTTTCCTCTTAATGTCCTAGAAAAGCTCATTCTGAAAAGTCTTGACCTTGTCTCTGCTGCACCAAGAGAAAAGAATGTGGGGTCACCCCTGCCAGGAAAGCTTAGGGATCAGAAGTGGGAGGGAGGCTGTCCTCCCGGAGCCAGCCCTCTCAGCCCTCCCACCCCCACACCCCCTTGTACAGGGAGGCTTCTTGTAATCCCCACTCTACAGACCGTGGACCGAAGCAGGACTGGGGAAGTGACTTGCCAGGTTGCTGGCTATGGGGGTGGGGCTAGATCTGAGCAGGAGAGGAGGGCTAGGCAGGGGATGTGGACGGTGGCAGAATCTCGGAGCCTGAGTGAGCCAAGAAGAACGGTGAAAGCTGATTCCTGTTTTCACCAGGGGATCCCCAAACTCTTCCGGTGGGGACTAAACTCCTAGTTCTCAGACATCCCTATTAACAATGATGATGACAGCAGCTAATGTTCACTGAACCAGGCCCAGGGCTAAGTGCTGTGCTTGCACTATCTCCTTAACCATCACACTTGTTTTCTTGTCCCTTTTGAAGGATGAAGAAACTGAGACTTCCAGAAACTGTGATATTCCTAATAATTGACAGAGTCAGTATGTGGACTTGGCCTGCCGGCCTCCAGTTCAGGATCCCACACTCTGTCGGGGTCACGGCTCCTTGCCTCTACTAACTGGGGTCACCTAGACTATCCTCAATCATTGCCAAGTACCCTTCCCTTCCTCATCACCTCCATCCCCACGCAGAGCCAGCACATCCGATCCCTGCCTCTGTGCTACAGATCCACCTATTCATAGGTGATCTAGCTGCTGCTTTGCCTTTACCAATAGGGGGCCAGAACTCTGCCCCCCAGGCAGATGGAGCCCAGTCTTGCCATGGCCGAACCACAAACAGAACATTCAGAACCACAAACAGAACATCAGCTTCTCTCTCCTTGCTATGCAGGTACCAGTGGCTGTGCTGGGTCTAGCTTCTAATGCTTCAATGACTGGGCAGGAACACCACCCAGGAGCTCTCACAGCTGAAGGTCCTCAGGGAGTGAGATCCTGATGTAGACCTGACCTGGAGAAGGATTTAGTACCCTGAGGCCTGGTGACCCTTGTGTCTTGCTGGAATGGAGAGCCACACATCCCAATCACCGGCAGTTGCCTGGCTGGGAGCTTAGCTGGCACAGTGTGAACTGATGCTGGACCGGGCATAAAGCCTGCAGCCTCCGCTTTTGGCTACACTCCCTGGGGCCATCTGAGGCATGTCCTGGAGAGGAAGCTGCTTCTAGCACTCAGCAGTGTCTCTGTCCTTTCTGTCCCTCTGCATGGCTCTGAAAGGACATGTCCTTCATTGAGCATTGGCTGAGCACTTACTGAGCACCTAGTTCTGTGACAACAGAGATGGGTGAGAGAGACACGGATCGCGCCCTGGAGGAGCTATGGAAAGCCGTGAAGAAGGATCTGTGAACTGCCCCCCACACCCTCCTCAGGACAGCAGGGTGCACAGTCAGCCTTACGGGCTGTGGGTGGGGGACGGCATAGTCCCAAAAAGCATGGGCTCTGGAGCTTGACTCCCTGGGTTTGACTCCCCACTCTGACATGTACAAAATGTGGTCAGTGAGCTGCTCCGTGGTTTCCTCCTCTGTGAAAATGTGATAATAAAGGTGCTAACCTCAGAGGGTTGCTGTGAGATCAACAGGGTTCATATGTTCAAAATGCTTAGAGCCCTCTGGCACCTGGTGAGCATGCAAGACTTGTTAGCAATGTTTACTATTTCATTGTTCCCCTTGGGATTTTTGTTTCTTTGGCTAAGTTCTATGTTTCTGGAGGACATGGATGGTGGCTTTTATTCCTCTTTGTTGTCCCAGGGCCCAGATGCACAGCAAGTCACCCATACACTTGAACTCCCTCCATCCCTTGCCTCTTACGTTATTCTGCTGCATTCTCTCTGGTTATGGGAGTTCAAAAGAGGGAGAAACCATTAGTTTGGAGGGAGGCTTCTTGGAGGAGGTGGGTAACCAGATCCCATAGATTCCAACTCCCTGGCTTTTCTGGTATCAGTTCCAACCATCACTCTGTCTGTCATCTTTGTCCTGGACCCCTGTGCAGCTTGTACTCTTTACAGGCCACTCTCTACCACACAGAGTGACCATCCTTATAACGTGATCCTGCTTAACACCACCACATTCAATGACTCCCCCACTGCCTCGGGATAGAGGCCACACCTTTGCCTCAGCATCCAAGCCAGGCCCTCCTGCTGCCCTCTCCAGCCCTATGTCCAGGGGTCTCCATGCACCCCTGCTGGGCAAGCCTTCCCCTGGCACCTGCAGTCCTGACTGGTTTGCAGGTCCTGACCGTTCTTAATGTTTCTGTTACTTTGCATTCGGCCCCTCCCCCTAAGCTGTTCTTTTACCTGGGGTGCGCTTGCCCACTTCAACATGCCTGCTCCCCAGCTCACACCTCTCCTTTGCACTCAGCACTCAGCCCAGGCACTGCTGACTCTAGCGAGCCCGCCTCAACTCCTGGCTGTTAGATCCTCCAGCCAGGAGGATCCTCAAGTCCAGGCTGTTAGATCCTCCTCCTCTGGGCTCTGGGAGCATTCAACGTACAAAGCGCATGTCCCTTCACTCTGTGCCAGGCACTAATCTAGGTGCTGGGGATACCTCAGTGAGCAAAGCAATGGAAAATCCCACCAAACGGCTCGCCATCCTCAAGGGGTGGGTCTGTGTCCTCGCTGGAGGCGAGCTCCTGGAGGGCAGGCTGGGCTCGTGGGCACTTCGCTCCTGAGTCCTCAGTATTATGTGTTGGATGTTAGTAAATGTTTGGATATTTGATGCGTTTCAGGCACTACATTCAGTGCTGGAGAGAAACAGTGAACAAGACAGGGAGGAGATATAATCTAGGGCCGTGAGAGCAGCAAACGTTATGGTTAGGAGCACAGCTCTGGAGCCAGGTGCCTGTGATCAGATACTGAATCTGCCACTTGCTAGCAGTGTGACCTTGGACAAACCAATTAACCACTGTGTGCTTGTTTTCCCAACTGAAAGATGGGATTATAATACTAACCACCATATAGTGCTGGCAGGAAAGTTCAAAGTGTTAATATCTGTAAAGTGCCTAGAACACAGTTAAGAGCTTTATATACAGGGTGGCCACAAAATTTGTGTGCAGTTGTAAATAGTGTGCAATTTTGAACTTTATGGCCACCCTGCAAAAGTATTTGTTAAACAAATGAGTCACAATTACATAGACTCTGAACACAGTCCTAGATTCAAATCCTACCTCTCCCAGGCTGTAGCCATGTGTAACCTGGTAAAGTCAGGGAATCAGGTCAAGCATCAGCTTTTTCATCTGTGAACTAGAGACAATAATAAAATTTCCCTCCAGGGGCGGTGCCTGTGGCTCAGAGGAGTAGAGCGCCAGCCCCATATGCCAGAGGTGGTGGGTTCAAACCCAGCCCCGGCCAAAAGCTGCAAAAAACCCCCCAAAAACAAAAAAACAAAACAAACAAACAAACAAAAACAAAAAAACTTCCTTCCAAGAGACAACACCTCCTGGGCTTCCAGGAGCCCACATACACAGTGTGCTTCGTGCAGGACGGGCGCTGGGTATGGGCTTTGCAGTGCAAAGAAGTGCAGATCTTCTCATGAAGCAAAAGCAAGATCCTGCCTGAGGGGCTGATAGTGCCCGAGGAAGAGTGAAAACAAAGGTCTCTGCTCAATGCTTAGATGCCACCTCCTCCATGAAGCCTCCTTCCAAACTAATGGTTTCTCCCTCTTTTGAACTCCCATAAATATTTGTCTCCTTGAACCTCTTAGGGGCTTCAGCTTTAAATTCCAGTCCCAAAATGGACAAACACATCCCTTCACTGAGTATTAGTTGTTTTTTTTTTCAATTACAATTCACCTTCGACAGAGCATCATTGCTGGAATCAAATAAGACAATGTCTGCAAAGCACCAACATGTGCCTGGCAGTTAGTAGATGAATGCCATTTCCCATTTGCTTATCTTTACCCTGTCACAGCCTCCTGACTGGCTGGACAGTTCACTGAAGAGACTGACATGGCTCCGAAATTCCCTGGATGGCAGGTGAAAGTCAGTGAATCAGTGAAAGGATGAATGAATGGGAGGTGCACCCAGGAGGGACTGCACGCCGATGAGATGCTTTCTGGGTCTGCTCAGGAGTCTTTCCACCCTTTGTGCCACGAAATCCCTTCCTCACATACTCTCCCACCTTGGGGCCTCTGTCCACGATGGAATTTTTCTCCTTTCCCTCATGTCCTGGTCAACCCTTGCCTGTGCCCATATCTCAGCTTCAGGGACACTTCTTCAGGGAGGATTCCTCCAAGGCCCGTCCCCTCCTGCCCCCATATCCAGCTTAAGGGTAGGTCACAGCCTAAGGTCACCCTGAAGTTGTACTTTTAAACACTTTGTGTTGTATGTTCATTAATTGGTGCTGCCCCCACTAAGTTGTAGACCCTATGGGAAAACAGGGACAGTGCATTTTTGTATCCCCAGAACTTAGCACAGTACCTGTCACAGAATATACCCTCAGTAGCTGCTTGTTAGAGAAATGCTTGGATTCTGAGTGTGAGGAGACCAAGCTCTTGGTTGGTATGCATCTGCGCCCAGGCCCTTCCTCCTGGCCCGCCCAGTGGCCTGACCTGGGATTTTCAGAAGATGAGGCCCAGCCTCCTCTGCTGTCACAGGCGGTGCAGGGCACGTGGGAAGTGGAAGAAGAGGGTTTACCCAGGCATAACTTCCACTGGCCTGTGGTAAGTGGAAGAAGAGGGTTTACCCAGGCATACCTCTGTGACAATGGTGTCCGTGGTGCTGTTGTAGATCCAGCCGTCCAGGCACGGCTCAGTGGCCCTCTGGGTGTCATTGGGCAGGCTGGCGTTGGGTGGATGTATGAAACGGAGACACCTCTCAGGATTTCCATTTGGGCCAACAGGGAGCACCCAGGCCCCTGCAGAGGTGTTGGGGGGCAGGCGACAGTGGTGGGCAGGGGTGGCAGCGGTGAAGATCTGCAGCAGGTTGTGGTTGGCCATGTTGAGGATGGGGATGGACAGCATGGCCACATACAGGAACTGGAAGGGGCCCATGCTGCCCACGCGGTCCAGGATCTCGGAGATGGTCATGGCACTGGAGCAAGATGAGCCAGAGCTGTGGGCGAGGCACCAGGCCAGGGAGAGGTATGTGTGTGTGTATGTATGTGATGTGTGGGCCTGTGCAATGATAAACAGCCACACATGGGAGGGTGGGCACAGGTGTGGGGAGCAGTGTTGTGTAAATGTGCAAAGATGTGGGGGCGTAGGTGTGCATACCGTCGAAGTCATGTATGGAAGAGCAAGGATGTTCCCAGCTGCATGGAGGGTTGTAGGATCACAGGTGTATGTGTCTGTCTGGGTGTGTGGACAGTGGACACAGAGAGGACTATAGGTATGTGCACATTTAGGATGGAGCAGGAGGGCCCAGCTGTGTGAGCTCTGGCATGTGGGTGCATGTGTGTACCTGTGGGGTGTGAGTACATGTGTGCTCAGCTGCAGGCCTGGGGCAGTACAGGCCACAGAGCAGGGACCAAGGGCCCAGTCTTGGATTTTGGCTACACAGGATGGATGATGGGTGTGGGATGGGTGCGAAGGTGGTTTCCTGATTGTTCCAAGCGCAAAAACAGGATTCACAGGGTTCAGGTTGCTGGCTGAGAAAGACCTCCCCAAGCCCATAGTCTCCTCGTTTGGGGCTGTTTCTCGGACTGGGCCCACCAAACTGGGGTATCAGAAAGAGCCCGAGTGGGTCCCAGGGGGGCATTAGGGGCTTGGCCAGTTATAATAAGGCAGCAAAGTCTGGCCTTGGGAGCTTCTCAGGAGTTCCTAGGTGCCTAGGCTGGGGCCCCTCCACCCCTTCTCACCTGGCGGCTGGATCTGGCTCCGGTGGGGCTGGTAGTCAGTGTGGTTGAGGTCCTTGATCTGTTCCTGGGCCTGGCAGCTGCCGTAGTTGGGCAGCTCAGCTCCAACTAGCAGTGTTTGTGCCTCCCCCAGGGGGGCTTATATAAGGCATAAGCTGTTTCTCGGGCTAATGTTTGACTTTCTTTTGAGGATTAATATTACTGGCAGGGAGAGAGCTGTGGACCCACCAAGCCCAGCTCTCCTTTTCAGGCCAAAGGGGGCAGGGCAGGGGTGGCATGGCTGAGCCTAGCAGGGTGACTGGCTTCATGGAGGGACAGGTGGCCCAGAGCAGCTCAGCTAAGGGAGAGACTGGGATGGGGGTCTAGCCTGAGCCCTGAGGTTCCAGGGTCCCTCTGAGGTGAGAATAGCAATAGAAGAGATGCTGCTGCCTCTGAGCATAAGGATTTGCCTCCCGGAAGTGTTAGGGTACACCCAGATAGGTGTGTCACTTGCATCTGTCCCTGAGTCCCTAGGATAGCCAGGGTCTCCTTGGCTGGGTCTCTGACACAGGTGACCTGGCTCATTCCATGCCCCTTGCTCCATGGGCAGGCTCCTCTCTGTCCAGTGGTCTTCTCTGGGGACCAAGTGCAGACCCTACTGTTTTGTTTTTACTCTGAATATTATTATTATTTTTTATTGTCTTGCTTAATTTTTTTTTTTTAATTTCAGGTTAATGTGAGGTTACAAACAACTAGGTTACAATGTTTGCATTTGTTAGGTAGAGTCGCTCTTGTAGTTGCGTCCTCCACTCAAGAGGTATGACACATACCCTTACATCGTTCCCATTAAATGAGATTACACTAATCCCCCTTCCTCCTCCTCTCTTGCCTCTCCTTCATTCCCCTTCCCCCCAACTTGAATTAAATTGTGGAAGTGTATTAGACTGTCTACTGGCTTCATATTAGTATTGAGTTCACTGGATACTTGGTTTTCCACTCTCGTGATACTTTACTAAGAAGAATGTGCTTCAACTCCATCCAGGTTAATACAAAAGCTGTAAACTCTCTTTTTATGGCGGAATAGTATTATATGGTGTACATATACCACAGTTTGTTAATCCATTCCTGGGTTGGTGGGCATTTAGGTTGTTTCCACATCTTGGCAATTGTAAATTGAACTTCGATAAACAATCTAGTGCAAATGTCCTTATGATAAAATGATTTTTTTTCTAGGTAGATGCCTAGTAATGGAATTGTGGGATCAAATGGTGTCACCAGACTTTCTTTTTTCAGTAGGTCCTTGACCTTGGGGATTCGAAGAATGAATCCAGGGATCATAGATCAGTGGTAAAATAGGATTTTATTAGACAAAAAGGAATACAGAAGGGGTAAAAATCACCAGAGCTTCTGGACAGAAGGAGTAAAAAGCACCAGAGCTTCTGGTAGAGGGAAAGACCCAAGCGGGTAGACTATGTGGGCTCTATGTCTAGGGGTATTAGGTCTTGAAAACTACACTTGGCTAGGACTTGGCAAATGGAAACATGTTTTCAATGCGTGTTATGGAAGAATGAATGCAGTCCCTCCAGTTTAGGGCAAAAGGTCAGAGCATTCCCTTCATGAAACTGCTCAGGCCTAGGAAAACTGGGGTCCCTGTCCAGAATCTAATTTGAGGAATCTCCATACTTCTTTCCCAAGAGGATGTATTAGTTTGCAGTCCCACCAACTCTGAATGTTATCTTTTTTTTTTTTTTTTAATTGTTGGGGATTCATTGAGGGTACAAGAAACCAGGTCACACTGATGGCATTTGTTAGGTAAAGACCCTCTTACAATCGTGTTTTGCCCCCAAAAGGTGCGGCACCCCACCCCCTTACTCCTTCCCTCTCTCTGCTCTCTGAATGTTATCTTAGTTATATAATAAAGCATTTCTTGCATAGAATGTAGGAATGTGCACAAGCCAAACAAAACAAAGTATCCAGTCTCACCTGAGAGCCAACCAGGAGTGCTCTGATGGATGCTCTTCCAGCCCTTTCCCCAGTAGACACTTCTGTCCAAGACCTCAACTTCTAGCAGCCAATTTTAGGCCAGTTTAATGCTCACAGGCAGCCTTGTTTGTTACTACTAGCATCATAAATTAGGAAATGGAGGCCAAGAGAGGTTAAGTAACTTTCCCACTATCTCCCAGCTAGGATGAGGTGGCAGGGCGGGAGCAGTGTAGACCAAGCCCACTTCTGCCCCTTAGAACGAACATTTTCCAAGAAATCCACGAATCTAAGAATCCATTTTCCAAGAACTGTGTGTGTTTGTGTGGACCCATATTGCTGCTTCCTTAGCAAACTCATCTAACTGGTTTTCAGCATCTTTCCGGCGTGCCTTTGACTCTGTTTCTACCTCTAGGGACCCTTGGGAGCTGCCCCATCCCAACTGTTGTGGGGGGATATGGAGGTAACCCCTTAAAGCTATCCTTGTTTGGAGAGGCTCCTTTTTCCTTTGGGGGCCCCCTCTCTACCAAGGCAGTATCCAGCCCTCAGGGCCCAGTCAGGGCTTTTCCCCCTGAAGTCTCTTCCAGCTGTCCCCTCACTGTAGGGCAGGGTCAGCAGGTTAACCTGGCTCTAGCCCCTCCTCTCTGCTTCCCACCTGGGCCCAGCAGTAATTGATGTTCCCAGAGTGGCCGGAGGCAGGGCGATATCCGGAATCATCAAAGGAAGATTAAATTATGCTTCAAGGCAGCCAAGGGGTTGTTTTAGGAAGGTTTTCGACTGTGAGGCTTGCAGTGAGCTGGGATTCCTCCCTGAGCCCCCTGTTCTGGGCATTCTCCCTCTTGGAAATTTTCTGGTTCCTAAGTGGTCTGGGTTATCCATCTGTTCCTGTCCTAGTGGAATGTTGTTTAAAGAAGCCTGGTGATTTCCCACTGAGGGTGCTGGAGTTGAGCCAGAGTGCACATATCTAAGCTGTCCAGTCAGGGCAGCTGTATCCGGGCAGCGCCCCTCCGTCCCTAATGGATGTGATTGGATTAATGGTATCAGGAATTGTGGGATGCACTTGTTAAATGACCTTGGGCAAATCACCTCTCTCTGAGCCTCTTGCTTCTCTTCATTAGTTAAGTAGCTTTTTCAAAAAGGCACTGGAAACCTTTATTCAAATAAACTGGGTTTATAGGATCAAGATATAAAGCAGACCACAAAGGGGGTGCTCTGACTAAAGTAGGGGAGCAGGTGGCAGGAAGAGAATCCCCTCCCTCACCTTACCCCCCCCACCCATGACCTCAGTTCATGCTTCCTTTTGACATCCTTTGCCCCAGGCTATCTGTGCCCACGGCATCTCCACTATATTAAGGGATCCATTACTTCTTGCATACTGTGATGCTAAATTCAATATGTTTAAATTAACATTTTTTTTTAAAAAAGACACTATGCATTTGGGAAATCTTACATTTTTAATTTGGGATATGGAAACAAATTTTATTTCTCTCTCTCTCCTTCCTTCCTCTCTTCCCCTCACCCTTTTCTCTTTCTTTTCATCTTTTGTCTAAACTCTTCCCGAGTCTCCTGTAACCTGAGCAGGGTTCAGTCAGTCTCCCCTGTTCTCTTTCGAGTCCCAGCACAGACATGTAGGGTCAGCTGGAAGGGTGCAAGACATTATCTAGTCTGATATGCTCATCTCATCTATGGGACAATGAGGTCCAGTGAGGGAAGGAACTTGGGTCAGATTCCCAGGCTCCTTGCCACCATCACACTGTAGACAGTCCTTTTTTTTTTTTTTTTTAAGAGTCTCACTTTCTTGCCCTTGGTAGAGTGCTGTGGTGGTGTCACAGCTCACAGCAACCTCAAATTCTTGGGCTCAAGCAATCCTCCTGCCTCAGCTCCCAAGTAGCTGGGACTACAGTCACCCGCCACAATACCCAGCTATTTTTAGAGACTAGATCTCGCTCTGGCTCAAGCTGGTCTCGAATCCGTGAGCTCAGGCAATTCACCCACCTTGGCCTCCCAAGTAGTAGGATTACAGGTGTGAGCCACCACGCCCGGCCTTGTAGAAAGTCTTTTAAGTTTAGCAGGGGAGGAGCTGTGTCATCTCTGACACAGGAAATCCTCTGACAAGGAAATCTTATTCCCCAGGAGTGGGAGGGAAGTCTGGGCATCCTGGGCAATTATGGGTGATTCACCGAACTTTCTAGGGGCCATTAGTTTTCCTACCCATTCTTTCATTTCATCCATCCATCTATCCATCATGCACCATGGGCTTGCATGTCTGAGGCCCCATGCTAAGAGCATTGGCACCTGCCCTGCGCTATAGTCTTCTTGTCAGAGGAGACAGCAGCTCAGAAACAATATCACAAGGAGACTGACTTCAACTCCATGGGAGATGTCCACATGGTCCAAGGGGTCATAGGAGGGAGGAGATAATGACAAAGTTTGAGGACTGGAGTTAGGAGGGGCTGCCTGGACAAGGTGACTTTTATTTGCACTGGGCTTCAATGATGGGGGGATCAACAGGTAGAACTGGGGATGGACCTGCTGGGTGTGTTTGGGGCATGTGAGTGGATGAACTGCCTTAAACAGAACTTCTTTCTCACCCACTGTGGTAGCCTTGGACTCAGGGGCTGGGATATCTCTACAATAGTTTCAGAGGGGTTGATGCTCTCCTGGGCTTCTCTGCCCCTTTGGGGTGGGAGTGGAGAGGCTTGTGACCCACAAGGAGCCAGGAGCTCACTGAGTTGTTTTCAGTGGTGCCTGAACTCTGCAGATTCTGGGTCTCCTCCCACATGGCCATGGGTCACCCTCTCAAGGGTTCTAGGCAGAAGCTATAGTACTTGTGGCCTCTCAAACTCTGGCCCCAGGTGGAGATGATGAGGCCGTCAGTAAATTCCCAGGCTATTCCTCCCCGGTGGTGATGGCTTCATCACTGACTGGTTGGGGACCCCAGATTCAGCGCCTGTCCTTGGGCAGCGCTGGCCTCTGTGTGTGGGTTTCAGGCTGGACATGGGCAAATAGGTATCCTCTGGCCTCAAACTGCAATCCCTTCTCCCACTTTGAGGATTGATTAGATGATTTCCTTTGCAGTGGTTCTCAACCTGTGGGTTGCGACCCTCTTTCAACAATGAAAATACATTGCGGTATTAGGAAGGTTGAGAACCACTGCAAGG